CCACCTTTCCCCTGGTAACCACTAATCTGTTCTTGGTCCATAGTTTTAAATTCCTCATATGAGTGGAGTCATACACAGATTATCTTTCTCTCGCTGGCTTATTTCACTTAACATAATCCTCTCAAGGTCCATCCACGTTATTGCAAATGGAATGATTTTGTTCTGTTTTGCAGCTGAGTAGTATTCCATTGTATACATGTACCACATCTTCTTTATCCATTCGTCTGTTGATGGGCACTTAGGTTGCTTCCACGTCTTGGCTATTGTAAGCAGTGCTGCAATAAACATTGGGGTGTACAGGACTTTTGGGATTGCTGACTTCAGGCTCTTTGGATAAATACCCAGTAGTGGGATGGCTGGATCGTATGGTAGTTCTATTTTTAGTTTTTTGAGGAATCTCCATACTGTTTTCCATAGTGGCTGCACCAGTTTGCATTCCCACCAGCAGTGTATGAGGGTTCCTTTTTCTCCGCAACCTCTCCAACATTTGTTGCTATTAGTTTTAGATATTTTTGTCATTCTAACAGGTGTAAGGTGATATCTTAGTGTAGTTTTGATTTGCATTTCCCTGATGATCAGCGATGATGAGCATCTTTTCATGTGCCTGTTGGCCATCAGTATATCTTCTTTGGAGAAATGTCTGTTCATGTCTCCAGCCCATTTTTTGATTGGGTTGTTTGATGTTTTGTGGTTGAGTTGCGAGAGTTCTTTATATATTAAGGATATTAAGCCTTTGTCAGATATATGACTTGCAAATATTTTTTCCCAGTTAGTGGGTTGTTTTTTTGTTTCAAGAGGATTGAGGATTTTTGCATATGTTCACTAGGGGTATTGGCCTGTAATTTTCTTGCCTTGTGATGTCCCTGTCTGGTTTTGGTATCAGGGTAATTCTGGCCTTGTAAAATGAGTTTGGAAGTGTTCCCTCCTCTTCTGGAAGAGTTTGAGAAGGATTGGTATTAATTCTTCTTTAAAGGTTTGGTGGGCTTTACCAATGAAGTCATATCATCCTGGACTTTTGTTTGTTGGGAGGTTTTTGATTACTGATTCCGTCTCCCTGAGGGGAACCAGTCTGTTCAGATTCTCTATTTCTTTATGATTCAGTCTTGGTAGGTAGTATGGTTCTAGGAATTTATTCATTTCTTCTAGCTTATCCCATTTGTTGGTGTATAATTATTCATAGGGGTCTCTTATGATCCTTTGTATTTCTGTGGTATCAGTTGTAACGTCTCCTCTTTCATTTATTTGCGTTCTCTCTTTTTCTTGGTGGGTCTAGCTAAAAAGTTTGTCAATTTGGTTTATCTTTTCAAAAACCACCAGCTGTTTGTTTCATTGATCTTTTCTATTATCTTTTTAGTCTCTATTTCATTTATTCCTGCTCTGATCTTTTTTATTTCCTTCCACCTACTAACTTTAGGCTTTGTTTGTTCCTCTTTTTCTAGTTCCTTGAGGTATAAAGTTGGGTTGTTGGAGACTTTTCTTCTTTCTTGAGGTAGGCATTTATTACTGTGAACTTCCTTCTTAGAACTGCTTTTGCTGCATCCTATAGGTTTTAGGATGTTGTATTTCCATTTTCATTTGTCTCCAGGTAGTTTTTGATTTCTCTTCTGATTTCTTCTTTGCCCCATTGGTTGTTAGTACCTGCCAGTCTTTTCTCATGGGCAGGCACTCTGAAAGGGCTTCTCTTTCCCCCTTGGTGTGGCTGCTTGGAGCGTGCCTGTGTCTTGCAGGAGACCTCCAGAAGGAACCCTTCATAGGCCACACGACCTGTCCTGCAGTCCAGCTACCCGAGATTCCCTCCTGATGTTGTGCAAATCTGCCCAGCTGGCTTGTGTACTACAGGCACACAGTCAGAAACTCAAATCTATGTGTTATCCTGGTAGATTCTGAGCCACCCTGAGGGCAGGCCTGGTGGTTTGTTCATTTTGGGGGCCTCAGCCACACCTGGTGCAGTGCCGAGCACACACCAGTAGGCCCCAGAGGAAGGTTGGCTGAGTTGGGTTGAATCCTACAGGGCAAAACAAAGTGGCCCATCAAAATAAGGAACTTTAATGCATCAAAGGACCTTATAAGGAAAGAGAAAGACTACCTACAGAATTGGAGAAAATATTTGTAAATCATATACCTGATAAAGATCTAGTATCCAGAATATATAAACAGCTCGTGAACAAAGACAATCAAGCCAATACAAGAAACAGGCAAAGGACTTGAACAGACTGCTCTCCAAAGAAGACATAGACATCGCCAATAGGTGCATGAAAAGACACCCAACATCGTCAATAGTTAGTAGGGAAATGCAAATCAAAGCCACAATGACTTCCCACTTCACGCCCACCAGAATGGCTACAATTTTTAAAAATGAAAAATAGCAAGTGTTGGGGCTGGCCCTGTGGCCAAGCGGTTAAGTTCGCGAGCTCCACTGCAGGCGGCCCAGTATTTCGTTGGTTCGAATCCTGGGCGCGGACATGGCACTGCTCATCAAACCACGCTGAGGCAGCGTCCCACATGCCACAACTAGAAGGACCCATAACGAAGAATATACAACTATGTACCGGAGGGCTTTGGGGAGAAAAAGGAAAAAAATAAAATCTTTAAAAAATATATATTAAAAAAAAAAAAGGAAAAAGGAAAATCTTTGAAAAAAAAACAAAGAAAAGAAAAATAGCAAGTGTTGGCAAAGCCCTGCTGATGGGGATGTAAATTGGCAGCCTCTGTGAGAAGCAGTCTGGCGCTTCCTCAATGAGTTAAAAATAGACTCACCCTATGACCCAGCAGTGCCACTGCTGGATATGCACCCAAGAGAAATGGAAACACATGTCCGCACAAAAACTTGTGCCCAGATGTTCACAGCAGCATTACTAACAGTAGCCAAAAGGGGGAAACAACCCAAGTGTCCATCAACTGATGAATGGATCAACAAAATGTAGTCCTTTCATGCAACGGAGTATTAGTCAGTCATGAAAATGAATGGAGCAATGATACCTGCTGAAACTTAGATGAACCTCAAACATTATGTTAAGGGAAAGAAGCCAGACACAAAGGGTCACACATTGTATGATTCTGTTTGTATGAAACTTACAGAAGAGGCAAATCCATAGAGACAGAAGGTAGATTAGTGGTGCCAGGGGCTGGGAGGAGTGGAGAGTGACAGCTACTGGGCACGGGGTTTGTATGTAGGGTAATAGAAATATTCTGGAATTAGACTATGGTGATGGTTGCACAACTAAAAACCACTTTGAATTATATCTCAAAAATTTTTTTAAAAAACACGAAGTGGCGGGGCTGGCCCCATGGCCGAGTGGTTAAGTTCGTGCGCTCCGCTGCAGGCGGCCCAGTGTTTCATCAGTTCGAATCCTGGGCGCGGACATGGCACTGCTCGTCAGACCACGCTGAGGCAGCGTCCCACATGCCACAACTAGAGGAACCCACAACGAAGAATACACAACTATGTACCGGGGGGCTTTGGGGAGAAAAAGGAAAAAATAAAATCTTTAAAAAAAAAAAAACACGAAGTGGCCATAAGAAGTGTGAAGTCTGTGGCCTTGGGCCCCACGGTGCCATCTGCAGGCTGCTAGGTGGTGCATTCACCCCGGAAGCACTCACGCCATTCTCTTTCTGAGTGAGGTCTGAGCTTCCCACGGGGTCAGCAGAGGCCGCCTGCCTGGAGCCGGACAAAGGGCTTGTTTACCTTCCGAGAGGGTGGGCAGTGGTGCCAACGGTGGAGACCTGATTGAGGGGAAGGCCCAGGAGCCACCTCCCTCACCTCTCCTTCCCGGAAACTTCAGCCTATACCCGCTTCGCCCCCCGGCCTGTTACTTCCCAGGAAATCTGAGGACAAGCCTGGGAGCTACCTCCAGGGAGAGAGTCAGAGAGTCGGTGGCCTTGGGCCAAGTCGCTGGTGGACCTGGAGCTGCTAATCACTGTCCCTGCTGATTAATTGCCAGGAAAGGCAGGTGCATCTGGGAAGCCAAGCCGGGCAGCAGGCGGAATCACGGCTGAGGCCATAATGGAGATAGATGGCCCCCGGGGTCCAGTCCTCTTCCAGTGCGCAGAGCTGCAGAGCGCCAGCCAGGGCCTTCGAGATGCTCCGTGTGTGTGCATATATTCCTGTTCAGGGCTCTGATGGACCACTCACTCACACAGAGAGATCACAGCCACCTTGACTTCCCGCCACCTCCTTTGCAGCCTCCCTGTGTATTTGCCTTTTTCACCCACTGCCTCCCTCCCCGCTCCCACCCTGTTCATTCACCGGTGCACATGGTGCAGCGGGAGCCCAGCGTGGCAGCGACGTGGGTGCGGGGAAGGGGGGCGGTGGGGACAGCAGGGGCCGGAAGGGCATTTTTTAGAGCTGTTTGTTCGCCTCGCTCCACTGGCAGCTATTGAAGGTTGATTATAGATATGATTAGTTTGAAAAAATAAAATAAGGATTCTGTGTCTGAAATGTAAAAGCTTGAAAGTCTGTGCCTCAGGGAGTGGGGGAGGCGGGGGTGAGGGTACGAGGTGCCCCTGCCGGCCTTGCCTGGCCACCTGAGCGGGGGTGCCGGCCCCTGTGGGCGCCGCCGCTGCAGGCCTCCTTGGCAGCTGCCCCATGTGTTGGCGGCGGCGCCCTCTCCTCCGCTGTCTCTTCTTGTCTGCTGTGGGCGTGCTGGAATTTTGCCTCCCGGGCCCCAGGCTCAGAGGGAGGCTGAAGTCTGGTCCGAGCCCCGTGCCGGCGCAGGGGCGTTTCCGGGGCTGCCAGGCCCCTTCTGCTTCCTGCCGTGTTTGAGGGGTGTTGGGTCCAAGAGCTGCTTCCAGGAGGACCTCGTGGTTCACCCAAACAGGACTAAGGGAGTGTGGAGATGCTCGCGGAGCTGGCCTGAGAGCCACACAGCAGCTGCTCCCGTGTAATTCTCCTGCCTTGCAACCAGGGGCACAGAGACCTGCTCCCCACCTCCACCCTGGCCCCGGGATTCTGCCCAGCAAAGGTCTTACATTTCCTCCTCCTCCTCTCTTGCCCCGTTTAGGTTGCGAGATGGGAACAGAAAACCCGCAAGCTGAGCAGGGCCTTCCGATCCCCGTACTTGGCCTGCTACTCCCTGGGCTGTGCCATCCTGCTCCTGAACTTCCTGCGCTCACACTGGTAAGCCCCAGGCTGGTGGTACAGGGCTCCATCAGGAGGGGGTGGCCAAAGCCCAGGGAATTCTGCTCTCCGAGGCCTCGTGCCACGGCAAGGCACCCTTTCCCTCTCAGGGCCATTAGACTCCTATCAGTAGAGGAGTCCTCATGACCTTGGGAAGGGGACAGTGCCTGGACCCCAGGGCATGGGGTGGACAAGGCCTGGGTGGTCCCCAGGCTCGGGGCCTTCCCCAGGCTGAGGCTGATGCCAGCAAGCCACTCAGTCCGCCTCTGGACCTGGCATGTTACCTTCCTGCCATCAGAGAAAGAGGCCAGGGCCAGTGGACTTGTTCTGCAAGATGAGGGACTGCTTGCAGGACCTGGGAGCAAGCCCTGCTGCCCAGAGGCCAAGTGAGGTGAGGGGAGCAGGGTCAGCTGTGGAGGAAGGAGAGTGGGGTCAGGCGGTCGGACGTGGCCAAGCCCAGCGCAGCCCGTCCCTGAGCCTCAGCGGCTCACCTCTTGGGTTCTGTGAGAACCATCGCAGAGCACACTAGCTCGTGGCCTGACCATGGCCCCTGCAGTGCTTTGAAAAATGAGAAATCACACGTGAGAATTCCAGTCTCCACACGTGGGAGCCATCACCAGGTGGCAGCTGCTCCTTTGGACAGCCCCCACGGTCCCCGTGGCCCCGCCCTGCAGGCACAGGCTGAGGAGGTGGAGCCTGATGCTGGGTACTCCTCCCTGGCTCCTGGGAAGTGGCCTCTGTAGCTGCCACGGGCAGGGGACCCTCACTCCCACACTCACACATGGAGAGAGGGTGGCCTGGCCTGCCCTCTCCACATCCAGGGTGCCTTTGCCTTCCACCCTCGATGTCTTCTCACCTTGAGGGAGTGTGGCTGGGAGGGGCTCTGCCAAGGCTGGCCTTCCCCATTGGACCTTTGCCTCCAGCCTGTGCTTCTTGGCCTTTCAGGCTGCCTCTCATCTCCTACTTCCTTTGCTCCAGGCCAGGATGGGTATCTCAAGGGTCATGGTCCTCAGAGTGGCGGGGCCCATGGCACCTGCCACCATGGGTTGAATGACATGAAGACATTCTCCAGAGAGGCCTATCTATGGCACAAAGGGGCAGGGGACTTGGCTTACAGCCCTGCCTACGGGGTCTCTGGGTCTGCTGGCCCCAAAGGAGCATTTTCACATTTGTAGGGCAGAGAAGGGGGCCCATTGCACAGATGAAGAAAGTGAGGCATGGCAAGAAGCAATGATTTGTTCAAGGTTTTCCAGCCCATGGAGCCTGAGATGGTGGGAGATCTGACAGCTTCAGGCTCAGCCGCAGCTTGGGGAGGAAAGACTCGATTTATTTAGGCCCAGGGAATGCAGTGGTCACAATGCTAGTGCACTCCCCCTGGGCTGGGCTCATAGGAGTAGGAAGTTTGGCGGGAGAGGGGAATGGTCCACTTTGCCCACCCTGCCATATGAGTGTGCCCCTTACAATGGAGGGGCCCTGGGCTGCCATCAAGAGGGTGGGAGTCAGTAGCCCATCTGAGCCCAAGCTGGGAGTGCAGGCCCCTCCAGCAGGACCATGGGGGGCCTGCTTCTCTGCAAGCCCTGACCCAGGGACCCCTCTGGACCCCAGGCACACGCTCCCAGCTCTCTAGGAGTGGTGAGGCTGAGGAAGAGCAGAGGCTGGAGAGAGCTCGCCCCCACCCCAGAGCATGCTGGGATTGCAGTCAGGGCCTGTGCTCTGCCAGGAGAGGGCTTGAGCCCCACAGCCCTCAGCCTAGTCAGGAGTATGGCCCAGGGGTCTAGAGGTACCCATCCATGCCCCAAGTCACCACCAATGCTGAGTACCAGGTGTGGGCAGCCATGCTGCCTCCTGCCTGTGGCACCCATGGTCACAAGAGCCTTGGGGTTGGGCATTTGAGCCCACACATCAGATGGGGGCCACAGCTGGTGAGTGGCGGAGTCAGGTGGCAAACCTGGCTGTCCCGGCCATGTGGCCTTCCCCAGGGAGCTTCTCTGTCTCAGGGCTGAGTTCTGATTTCCCTGTCCGTCCACCCTCGGTTATGGAGCCCCGTCTCCCCACTTGCTCAAGCAGAAGCCTTGGGGGCAGCCTTGGTTGCTTTCTGAATTTCCCTGCTCAGTCCCGCAGCACAACCTGTAATGCACCCTGGGTTCCAGCCCCGGGATCCATCCCTGCTCCCTTCCCTGTCTCTCTGAACCACGCAGCAGTCTCCTCACTCCACAGCTGCACAGCATCTTGTTAGAGTGAGAATCAGACCGTGTCATCGCTGCCTTACACCCCTACCCCGGCTTCCCACTGCAGGAAGGATAACGCCCAGATTCCTCACCTGGCCCCTCCGAATTCCCATGGCAGGGCCTCTGCCCTACCCCTTCCTCCACCTTTAGCTCTCAGCTTCTATGGCGCCTCCCAGAGAGCCCTCCCTGACTGCACCCTATGTGCAGAAACCCCGCTGTGGGAGCTAGCTCTAACTCGGCTCCTGCACGGCCCTCAGCACCTCATCCAGTTGTCAGGGCTGACGTGAGACCCGCCTCTCGACAGACCGTAAGCTCCAGGAGGCTCAAGACTGTGTTCTGTCCCGTGAGCCGTTTATCCCCAGGGCCGAGCACTGCGCCTGGCTCAGTGAGTACTGAGGCTAAGTGCAGAATGGAAGGAGCCTGCACTGGGGGCCCAGCTGACCTTGGACCTTGGAGAAAGAAAGGTCAGGGGATGGCTGGGAGGCTCCAGTGAGGTCTCTAAACACTGGTGAGAGCTCCAGGTGTGTAAACAAGTTGCCCCCTCCTTGCCCGGCCCTCCTCTCCCCGGGCCCCGCTCCGACTTTGGTCACAGGGTCGGGGTTACAGATGCTCTGCCTGCCTTCCCACAGCACTCTCCCGTGGGAAAAGGGGGCTGCCTGAGACAGGCCTGGATCCATTCTGCCCCACCGTGGCCTTCCAGCCTCAGGGTCCTCAGCTGCCCAGCAGGAGAAGCCCCTCTGGCAGGGCTGGCGTAAGTGGGTGCTCAGAATGGCCCTTACTTCGTGGTTTTTTGGTGGCAACAAGGTGCCCATTCTCAAGGAGCTGCAGATCTGCAGGCCCCGGAGGAGTGGGGACTGGATGGGGCAGAGGAATACGGGGCCTCTTCCTGCTGCTGCCTCCAGACGTCCTCCAAGCCTGCTGGCACCCTCTGCTTAGCCAGCTACAGGTCACCCGTTCACATGTGGTCCACTTGATGAGAGCAGCATTTGAGGCTGCGTGGCGCAAACCCAGCCTCCCTTTCTTGGCCTGGTTGCCCTTCCGGGCCCTCTGTTACCCGTTTCTTGGTGCCCCCTGCAAGAGCATCCCTACTGAAACCCTGTACAGGCATGCGCCACTGTGCACATGGCCGGTGCGTGGTGGGCTCGCTTATCGGAGCTGGGCGTAGGCTGTTGCAGAACAGCAGCCGTGGGTCTGCCTCATTCTCTGTCACCACCACACTGTCCCTGTGTGGAGGCACCACTCTCCTAAGCAGCCTGCACACAGTCTGTCTGCTGTCTCAGCCCCTGCCTCTCTTGGCCCTGCAGCAGGAGGGCTTGCCCAGGTCCCTTGGCTGGTTCCTGACCAGCATGTGACCTGGGCCAAGGGGACCCCTCGGAAATGGGGGGGGGGGGCCTCGCTTCCTCCACTTGCACACACACCCCCAGCACACTGGCCTGGGCTGGGCACTGGACTGGGGTGGGGTGGTCTAGCGATGGGCAGCGTGTGGTGGGTCGGGTTGGATGAGATGCCTGGGGTCAAGCAGCAGCTGGGATGTGGGAGGAGAGGGAGCCACAGGGGTTTCAGAGCAGGGGAGGGAATGAATGAACTGAGTCGGTGTTAGAATTTGCAGGGGCTTCTGGGTCTTCTTGAGCTAACCCCACCTCGCACTGCTTGGCTCAGAGGGAGCTCACTATTGGGCAGCCGGAGGTGGCTGGGGACTGCTGGCAGGAAGAGCAGGCTGGGTCTCTGGAGGCAGTTAGTGCAGAGGCTTGAAGGAGGAGCGAGGCCTGATGGGCTCTGGGCGTCCATCAAAGCCTCCCCAGCTGGCACAGCCTCTGCACAGCTGGCCTTCGCGGGAGCCGGGCAGCCTGGAGCCGCTGCCCAGTAGTGAACCTGTCGGGACAGTGCTGTACAGACAGCCAGGAAGGCACCGCAGCCTTCCCTACTCTGCTGTCCTCCTTCCAGACAGCGGCCTCAGGGCAGGTGCTCAGAGGTGCTCGGGGCATCAGGGAGCCTCTGGTGCCCTTCATCAGTCACTTGATGGAGTTGTATTCCAGTATGCCTCAGAATTTTCCGGGGGCTTGTGGTAATGGGCATGCAAGCACAGGGCAGGGAGACCAGGGGCGGACGGCTCCCGCTCAGGGGCTGGGGTGCACTGTTCAGCAGGAGCAGGGCTGTGGCCAGGGGTAGAGGGAGCAAAGCTCCCTCACCTGATTGTTAGTTGCTTGGGGGCAGGTGCACCCTGCGCGTAGACTGACCGAATAGGCGGATGTCAGCACATGTGTGGCTCTCTTCCCTGTGGCCGTCTGTGTGCTAGTCATTGCTGCATCCATGCCCACCTGGAACTGCTCACAGACGTGGTCAGGACAGGCCTATGGCCTGTGGCTACACGAAGGAGCAAGCGAAGGGAGCAGACGGGGAACAGTTTACTGCAGGGGGTCCATCAAATGGTGCAGTGAGAGCACAGCCAGAAAAGGGGTCAGGGCCTCCCCCAGGCTCCCTGGGTATGCACAGGACTTAGTTCCTTGTGGCTGTAGGACGAGGCCCTCAGCTCCCAGAGTCTGCCTACCACTGCTGTCGGCTTCTTCCAGGCCAGTAGGAAAGTCTCTCTGACTTCTCTCTCTGACCTCCAGACCTCTTTGAAAGCCCCTCCCACCCAGGGTAATCTCCTTTCCAATTAAAGCAGGGTCAACTGACCAGGACCTTAATTCCATCAGAGAAATGTCCTGACCTTGCCCCATCACGGGAGGGAGATGGTGGTGTTCATGAGTCTGCCTGCATTCAGGGGGCCGA